GTTGGAATGATATTCTGAACCTGGTCCTGCAGTCATATGTTGTTTGCATAAGATATAGAAAAGAGAAGCAAAATGGAAACATCTCTCTCTATCTCTGGTATATCACAAAACTATAGCATAAGACAATGAAGATTAGCATGGCATGTGCAAGTATAACATACATAAAGTGAAAAATGGTCTCTTTTTTTTTACTGATTTTTCTATGCATTTCTACTGTGTTTTGGGTTTCAACCTACAGATTTTGGATATTTGATTTCATTTAATGATATGCTAATTTTTTAAAAAAATATTCTTTGTGATTAAAAATCAAGAAAAACCTAAGACGCCATAAATGGATTGATTAGTGTATACTTCAAGAAATGGATCTAAACAAACCTTAAAATTATTTTGAAATCAAGCTACAAATTGATGAAATTAACATGAAATTGATATGGAGATATATAGGGGAATAGACGGATTGAAACCTTACTTATGAAAAGAATATATATCAAGAAATTGATGAAATTAAGAATATGTCAAGAAATTGATGAAATTTGGATGTAATGTACCCGTTAGGTCGAAGTCGAGGAAGAGGATGAACAATACTCCTGCAACTGCAAGAAAGCCTCCATCTTCTCCTTCTTTCTCAAGTTGCAATGTTCAGATCGGTTAATAACTCCACATACGCTGCTATTAAAAAGTGGTCCTTTAGTGGGTGGTTGAGACTTTGAGCTGCAGTTTTTAACACGGAATATTTTACCGAAACAGACGTCGTATTGGTCATCGCACAACTGAGCGGGAAATTTTTCATGCTGCTATTGTAAATAGGAGGATTACGTTAATACTTAATACAATCATGTTATTACTTGTTTTATACTTTAATATAATATTATTCCCCTATTTTATAAAAGAAAAAAGATTAAAGTAAAATAAAAAACATTAAAAATATAACAAAATAAGAGTTTCACTTTTTTATTACCGATAAAGGAGTTAAATATCTTTCTTGTGTCAATCATGATCATATACATTACCTTAAAAATATTGTGAAATGTCCATGTACTGTATCACTGCATTACTACAGTGTGAACTCCTATTTAGGTCAAATTTTTATGATCGTCTTTGTCTATTTTCTCTATCCATTTGAGAAAAATAATAGTCTTGCTTCTTTATTTTGTAGAACTTTTGCTCTAATTTTTAAATATTTAAATTTTACTCGGTATTACTTAATTTCGTACCAATTTTTAAATACGGAGTATACAGAATTGAAAATACCTTCAGTTAAATCTCGTAAAAAAACAGACATTTTAAATTGAAACGGAGAGAGTATAATATTTCAAAGCTCTATTTTAAAATATTCAATTGATATTAAATTTATATAATAATTTAATATATTTTTTCTATAATTTTTAGTTAAAGTTTAAAAAGTATAAGTAAAAATTCAAACTCGGAGACAAATTTATGCACAAAGGAAGTACGAGTATTATTTTACAACCCACTTTTAATCAAATGCTCCTTATAGTCTAAAATAGTATAAAATTTATGGCGTAGTATTTTACTTCATGCAATGCACAATGTAAATGAAATTTTATTTCGATCCCGCAATTTACCTATAAGATTATTCAAGAATGAAACAAAAAAAAATCTACTATTTAAATTCAAAAATGAAAGTGTCAAACTCTTATTTAAATTAAAATTTCTTGAAAGAACTTTTTGATATACTCCATTTCATATAGATTTTTCAAACATTATTCATAAGGTCAAATTTAACTCACTTTATTTGTTTATTTTTACTACTTATTTCATAAAAAATAGGTTTACCCCTTTTTATTTTTTAGAACTTTTTATGTAATTTTTTTATTATAAAATTTTATTTTTAATTTTTTATCTACAATCAAATAAATTGAAAATAAACTCGATTAACCCTCGTTACCTGTAATGAGATGATATATACCAAAATAGAGCCCCAACAATCAAAGTCCAAACAATTGATTTTGCATATGCTCTACTTTTACCATGTTTCTTTTCACTCGATCTGATTTTATGGATAAAAATCCAAAAAAAGGATGATGAGCGGATGATGGATGGACCAACAATAGATAGATCATGTCAGATGCGGGTGAAAGATTTTCTCACATCTCAGTCGGGCCATCACCTGACCCATTTATATTTACTTTAAGAAAGAGTATAATTCAAATACTATCCTTGTTGAGTATATAAATTTGTTCTACTTTTCAATGTACCAGTTATAAAAACCTTATATGTATCTTAGCATGCAACTTGTTTCTGTGTAATATTTCGTCACAAACATTTTTTTTTTTTTTTTTTCAATTTTTTTTCTATGTTATGCGCTCCATAAGTTTTTCATTTCATGAAATTGATGTTTAAAAATTATTACTTATATCACCCATTTGTCATGCACATGTTATAGATGAATTGGATCAATGATGGGTAACGTGTATAACCGATAATGGAGAGATTGGGTGATGGATATAAGACTAATTGATGGATGAGTGTGAAATTCCACCTGACCAAATCCCCGCCCATTGACATTTGTCAAAAAAGTCAAAACATGAATGTTTTTCTAGGATAGATGAAGGATATACTTCTTACTTCCACTTAGGGGAGAGCATCGGTTCGGTTCGGTCGGTTTTGGCCCAAAACCGAAATAACCGAAAATAAAAATGACTCACATTAACCGACCGAATCGAACCGAAGTTTTTTTATAACCGAAAAAACCGAACCGAGATAAACTGATTCTGTTCGGTCGGTTTTCGAATAACCGACCCATCGGAGATGTATATCCCATCGGAGTTTTCCCCAAGCTCATAGGCTTTCCATTCCCGTTGGAAACCGGAACAGCGAGGATCTAATGGAGCAGGCGATGGACTGAGAGGATCCAAATCTACCGGAACAGGCGAGGATCGAAATCTGCCGGCGATCAAAATCTGTAAGGTTCCGCACTCAATTCAACGTAGTCTTCAAATAATTCACCGGCAGATTGGTACGACGGAGTATCGGCGGAGAAATCGGAATATATGCTATAGTCGTCGTCGTCATAGGGCATCGTCGTCTGATCTCCGTCTTAAAGGCGTAAAGCCTTGATGCCGTATCGCCGTAGATGGAGGCGGAATAGGCAATTAGGGATTAGACATACTGAGACAGCAACACTTATTTGAGATGGGCTGTCATTAAATGGGTTTTGGAACTCGGCTTTGTTCCTTGAATTGATATATTGGGCTTACAAATATAAAATATACATAATTACATATACTGGGCTCGGTTTTTCGGTCGGGTTCGGTTAATACTGCCCGGAACCGAAACCGAAACCCGAATTAACCGATCTCTATATATATTAAAACCGAAACCGAAATTTCGGTCGGTTCGATTAAATTCATTCGGTTTCGCGGTCGGTTCGGTTTAATTGCTCACCCCTACTTCCACTATTCTATGAAGTTCTTCCTATTGTGCTCTTGCATTTGAGAAAGAAAAAGAGAAAAAATAACGATTAATTTATTTTTGTTATGAAATTAATGATTGTTCATTTATTCAATTAATCAGGCCTACTTTTCTAGAATAGTAGATTAAGACATTAATTGATGAACACTAATTATGTACAGTACTTCCCACTTGTATTTGTAATCATACCAAGCCTCTCCACTATAAATAGAGGCTTAATCCCTGCATTGTAATCACCATTAAGAATAAGAGAAGAGTGAAGAGTTAATAGAGAGAAGAAATCAGAAATATATTATATCTATTATCTTAATCTCTGAGTAGTTTTTCTCTCATTTTATAACACGTTATCAGCACGAATTTGCTCAAAATCCCAGAATCCTTGTTCTTCTCAGAAGGTATATTTATTTTATTTTCTTCATAAACAAACTAAAATATTTTCTTAAAAACTATGAGAAGTATGCTCTGTGATTGCCCAAAGTTGGGATCCTTCACATCAGAAACTTATAGTTATAAAAATAAAAATAGATAAATTAAGAAGGAATAATTTTCTGCATAATATCAGAAAATCATGTTTTTGATAAATTAAAACAAAGTAGAATTTAGTACAGAGTAGCTTTAAAATAAAATATTAAAAAAAAATAAAATAAAAAAAGAAAAATTAGAATTCAATTATGAACATACCTTAAATTAAACTATGCATGAATGGTAGACTCCCCTCCACGCATATAACTTTCTTAAAATTTATTACTTGGAACTCTATGGCACTGTTTTCTTCTTGTTGCAATTTGCAAATATATTCTTTTACGAAGTATATGGTTGGTTTGAAGGAGAGAGAGAGGGGGAATGATATAAACACTCCAAAACTAGTTGAGGAGCATTCTATTATTTTCTCTCGTACTCACCACTAAATTGATTTGTCTTTTCCTTTTTGTTTTTTGAATATTTTTTTTAAATAACATGGAGTAAAAATTATTATATTACACATTACTTAAATTGATTTTTTTTTCTTTTTGATTTTGAATACGTGTATATATACACACACACACACATATAAAAAAAATCTTCCTTATTTTAATACGGAGTAACTAGGATTAAAAATAATAATAATAATAATAATAATAAAAACTTTTTAACTATATTCTGGAAACATAAGATGTAAAATACGGAGTAAAAGGATTATCATAGCTAAGAAACACAACTCAAATAGTAGTTCTACCATATCATCATATATTCCGTATGAAGTATGCAATAGAATTTTTTTTATAAGGAGTACTACTGAACACTATGGTGAGTTGGTTACTTGGTGTCTATGTGATTAAGTTTTGTTTTTTTCCTTGTATTTGTATTACTAAAGAATCAATTTTTTTTTAACAATTGTATTATTTCTGTCCCTTGATTCTTTTGAATGAATATGCATCACCATCAATTATTTAAAAAATAAATAAATAAATAAATAAATAAATAAAGGTAGGATATGGACAGAGATGTTTGGGGTAGCATGAGAATCATTTGTGTTCGTTTATTTCTTTTTAACATGGAATCTTATCATTTTGCTAAACAATTACGCACTACCTTTTATTTTTACTTTTTGCCGAAGAAAAATGAATAAATAAATTACATTACCCTAATGAAATTTAATTTATTTTGTAGTATTTCAAATGGCCAACATCACCAAAAGAGAATTTGACATTCTTGATTTATCCGGTCAAAGGTACCTGGAATGGAGGGTTGATGCACTTGCTCACCTTAAGGCTAATGGCCTCAAAAATACAATTGCTGAGAATAATACATCATCATCTCAGCAAAAGGCAAAAGTCATAATTTTCCTTCGCCACCACCTTCATGAAAGTTTAAAATCTGAATATCTATTGGTGGAAGATCCGAAAGAATTATGGGATAATCTCCAAGAGAGATATGGACATCAACAAAAAGTCCTATTGCCAAGAGCTCAATATGAATGGATCAATTTAAGATTCCAAGATTTTAAGTCTGTTTGTGACTATAATTCTGCTATTTTCAAAGTCACGTCCACATTAAAATTATGTGGACATAATATCACAGATCATGACATGTTGGAGAAAACTTTTTCCACCATGCATATGTCAAATGTGATATTACAGCAACAATACAGAGAAAGGGGCTTTAAAAAGTATTCTGAGTTAATCTCAGTATTACTTGTTGCTGAGCAGAATAATGAGCTCTTAATGAAAAATCACAACATGAGGCCCAATGGTTGTACCCCTACAAATTTTAGCAATCCGGATCGTGGTTCAGCACCGGAATCAAACGTTATCCAAGGTGGTGCACGCGGACATTTTAAACGTGGACGCAGAAATAACCGCAACAAAGGGCCAAATAGGGGATATAAAAATCCAAATGGATCATCCTCCAAAGGAAAAGGAAAATTCAAACCACCACAAGCTAAAACTTATGAAAAGCCAGAACCAAGTGGTGAATGCTACAAATGTGGCATAAAAGGACACTGGGCGAATGAATGTCGAACGGCAAAACATTTGGTTAAATTATACCAGGCTTCCACAAAAGGAAAAGGGAAAAATGTGGAAGCTAATTATGCTGATGAAATCAATCCAATTTTGCCTAAATTTGACGTGTCCGATTTCTACATGGATGATGCTGAAATTGGTGATGAAGTGACCTTTGGTGGAACTACTACTATTTAAACATTTTCATTTACTCTGTTATGGTGTGTTTATTTTTTAAATAAATGTTGGAAATTTGTATTTTATTTTCATGTGTGCTTGTATTATTATGTCTGTTCTAAAAAAATGATAATAAAATGTATGATATTTGTGTTAATTATCTTGAACTTATATTTATTTATATACTCCGTATTTATTTGTATTCAAGATATGGAGATGACTGTTTATGGCTCCAGTGGCAAAGAACAATGTCTAATTGACAGTGCCACAACGCACACCATTTTGAGAAACAAAGAATATTTTTCTCAAATGACATTGATGGAAACTAATGTCAATACAATCTCTGGTGTTGCGAAGCTCATTGAAGGGTCTGGAATAGCTTGTTTAATCCTTCCCCAAGGAACAAAATTAATTATCAAAGACGCATTATATTCCAGCAAATCCCGAAGGAATTTATTGAGCTTTAAAGATATGCGTCAAAATGGTTATCACATTGAAACCATGACAGAAAATCAAAAGGAATACTTGTGTCTAACGACAACCAAATCTGGCAATAAAATTCTTTGTGAAAAGATGCCAGCGTATTCCTCGGGGCTATATTATACTCACATTAGTCCCGTTGAAGTGAATGTTATCTCTAATAAAAAATTAGATGATCAGAAAACATTCATTTTGT